CTTGTCTGCAACTATCCCCGCGCAACGCTGCACAGCATTCCCACATATATCAGTAACTGAGTCCCACAATACCTCCTCTGCATATTTTGACGAAACTGACCCACCAGTAAACACTGCCTTTTGGAAAACACTAATCCCATTGGGAAGATTAACCATGAACTTAACCATGTTTTCTTCCCCACAAGGATTCTTGCTTTTCCACCCATCAGAAGCAACTTGAAAAAACATTGCATCTCTGATCCTAGCTTCTGACTCAGCTTTGACCTCATCAAATTTTGCATCAAGCCTAGCACCCGAGAGCTCACGCTGTAACAGTGCAGGCAAGCCCACCTGGTTAAGGAAAGCCCTGAACTTGGGATGCTCGAGGCTCGAAAACGAAACCGACCCACATGACTCGTAGAACCACTCAGACAGTAATTCAAGTGCAGAATCAATCTGCTCCTTACTAAGCGTGGCACCAGGAGACGTTTTGGGGCTCTTAAGTTTCTTCACACTATTTTCTAGCATTGCCAAAGCACCCAAATCATGTTTCCCACCCGATAACCCCACATGCTGCTGATTTGGCCCCGTACTAGTAGCAATCCCAACTGGATTTGGAGATTGTGAGTAATTATGTTCACCGCAATAGCGGGAAGACTCGATCATAGCTAAAGAATGAACCTGTATCGAAGTAGAACTGGTATGATGAGGAGCATGAGAAATAGGACAAGGAACAGTACCCATTTGAGAGCTTCGCTTTCTGTGATTGTGCGAAGACGGAGAAGGCAAGGAAGATATCGGAACCGGCGAAACCGATGAATTGGGTCTCAAAACAGAGGCGAAATTCGGACAAGTACCCCGTTTGAGATGCTCAGAGGCGGTTCTGGACGGGTTTGAAGCGGAGAAAACGGCGTCGCAGAGTGAGCACTTTAGCTTGACAGCCTTGGGGAGGTTGGTGTTGGGGTTGCGAATGAGAATGGGTTCCAAATGAGCCCAGTACCAAGCTCCTTTGCCCTTTATGGCCTTTGTTCGAACAGTGACCAGACTGTCGTAGCGCTTGTTGAGGGCCCTGGCGGCTATGTCATCTTGGGAGAGAGATGGGTCTGTTGGGGTTGAATTTGTGGAGGCCATTGACTCAAAAGAGTGGAAATTGGAGAGTGAGAGTGAGTGAGTGAGAGAAAGTGAAGTGATGGGTTTTCAGTGAAAGAAGCAAGCGGGTGAAACTGAAGCAGTGTGGGGTTGGTGAGGTTGGCCTATCATGGTGGTGGGTTTGGGGCATTTAGCGGGAAAGTGAGGGCGAAGGTGAAATGGGTTTTGGGTTTGGATTGAAACAGAGTTCCATGGCGATCTTGGTGAGTGAAAAAATATGAGAGCTTGAAGTTTGAAATGGGTTTTGAAGGGTGTGATGTGAGGTTTGTGAAATTCTCTGCAACTCACCTGCACAACTGCTCAACTGCACGTTCAACACAGAACACACACAACAGAAATGAGGGAGTAACGGAGACATACATATAGTGCAGACTCTGCATACTCCAGAGAAAGAGAGAGAGAGAGAGAGAGAGAGAGAGAGAGAGAGAAAGAGAGGAATTTTATTCGACATAATCAAAATATGAGTTTTTTTTCTATTTTATTCTTCTGACCAACAATTTTTCCTTTTTTGTTTTTTTTTTCCAATCCTTCCTCTCTATGATCATTTTTGTTCATGTCTGTCAAATGTCAACAGTGTTCAGTATTTTCACCTCCTACTTTTTTTTTGCCTAATTTTTCACCTTCTATTCAACTTTCTCTCACATCTCTTAATCGGAGTGGTCTATTTTTAGGTCATCGTTTAATGATTATCTCGATAAAAAAAAAAATCAAATTGCAAGGCGTTTAGTTATTTAAATGTTAATTACCACATCATTAATCAAATGATTATGCAATTTCTTTTTTTCTTTTTTCTTTTTTGCATGAATAATCATTTGAGTGTAAAACGGCAGATGAATGCTATAACTACATTCCTCTTAAGCATTATACTTTCTTCTCTCCATTATAGAAGGTACGATGATTAAAACATTTTAGTATGACTGCAAATCTTTATCACATACCTTTAATTAATTTTGATTCGTGTTTTTTTTAAGTGAAATGGAGAATCTCTTGATTTTTTAATGTGGTTTTTTTTTTTTACTTCTAAGACATTGTTGTTAATTGAAACTTACATGTTTAGTGGCACAACACTACATTGTTGTTAATTGAAACTTACATGTTTAGTGGCACAACACTTACTTTCACATTTCTAATTCAACAATTGCTATCCTCTTCTTCGACGAAAAATATTATCCAATAAATATGAGATTGAAATAGTTCCAATAATCAAACAAATAATCAAACGCAATTCCTACATAATTAAGAGATTGAGGATGTTGTCTGCTTAATTGTGTCACAAATACAAAGTAGTGTTTGTATTTTTTCTTTTTATTCTACATGTCAGATTGTAGATAAGTTTAAATTTCCCTCTCTTTTTTATTTCTACCTTCAAATAATAAATTTGTTGCTCTGAAAAGCACGATTTTTTAAAAAAGTATAATCAAATTAGGTAGTTTATGATTGCTCCAGTTCATTTTGAAGTATGAGCTCATTTCCATTTGTACGTAGATTCATGCACTAAATAGTATATATAGTATCTTTATATACCAGATACATAATATATATCTTGTATACAAATCGATAGGTGCAAATGCAGGTTAGGTTAATTGACAAAATAGTTTGCTCGTCTCCTTGTTCCTAGTTCGAATCTCCTCTCCGCAGTTTATAATAGTTTCGAATTTTTTGTTGTCAAATAGTACATAAATAAATATGTTGTTTAAGGTGTTTTTTTTTCTTCATTTTGTCATATTTTCTGTCTTCTACCTTTTATCAAATGTCATACTATAATTTTTTTATACAGTGGACTACGCGTCGTACATGATTTCAATAAGCTCTTGTCTTTAAAGGTAGTTGGAAAATCATATCATATCAATAATAAACATAATCTCACAGTATTATGTATGTTTATGTTTATATATCCACATTAACCATTTAAATAATGCGATTAACCATAGCTTTTGTTTTTTTAAACTGAAATACATTAAAAGTTAGATTCCCTATGAATCTTAAGACCATACAAATTAAAAAAAAATATAGCAACGACATCAAAAGGGAGATGATTAAACCAACCACATGAGTTGTTATAACTGTGTTTTTTTTTGTGTTTTTTTTTTTTGCCAACTATTCTGCAACCATATTAATTTCTCTGTAGATACGAGTAATAGTGACTTGGTTAAATTTCCCAAGAAGTTGCCTTATATATTTTGCCATTGATTTTAAACTCCACTGTAAATTGCCTTGTTTGGTAATAATTTGTAGAAATACTTTAGAATCGCCCTCAATTTTCACCTTCAACATCTTCAAACGATTGACCCATATCAAAGCTTGCTTGATCATCATCTTTTGTTATGGTAATATGTAACAAGATTATTAGTTATCCGAACTTATGAAATTTGTAAAAACTAATATATAAGGATTGATGCCGGAACCAAAATCCCTGTGCGTTTAATTTTAATTTTGTAATTAAGCTAGTTTAAATAGCATCAAAATCATACTCCAACCAAGTTAACTATTTGATGATCACGCTTAGGAGTTTGGTGGAGTGGTTACAAGTGCGACCCATAAGGTTTCATTATTTTAGGTTTAATTTACATGTGATGTTTTCCAACAAAAGGAGAATAAATTGCATAACAAGTAATTTATGGAAGAAATTATTGAAAAAAAATAGAGACAAAAGATACAAGTATGACTGCAGATAGCAGGCATGTGGTGGATGTGTGGAAAAGTCAACAAAGTAGCCCTAATGGCATTTTCACCTAAAGCATATGGTGCTGTCCAACCTAAAGCTTTACTCAATTTTAAGATCTAGTGTCTATTTCAAATTTCCAAAATATAAAGGTTTGGGTTTTGGAAATATTGAATTTGAAGCTTAGATCCATCCATGGACCATTAAATCATTAAAAATATGAATTTTCCCTTTTCAGCAACAGAATCTGAACCATTGAACCAAACCATATAAAAACCAAACAATCATCTTAATCTGGGTAATTATATTATGACTTTGGTCTGGCTTGGCTTGGGTTCAGAAAATGACATAAGTAAGTTTGTGGGCTAGCTGGCTATGAATATTTTGGGCCAAAAAATAAATTTAAAAGAAGCGTATTATTATATCTATTGAGACATATCATCCTTAAAATAATTTTCACACTAGCATTATTTTTTACTCATTATTTTGCACACGTGTTTCATATGTCTTCAGTGGAACCCAACCGTATGGAATAATAATAAACTTTTTCATTAAATTTTAATAATTGGAATACCTTTTACTCTACGTTATCGGCCTCGTTTATTTTCTTTTCTTAATACTTTCAAAACGCTCAACTACGTTAAATTTAACACAAAAAATAAAGTGGATTATTATGTCTTCAAAATTCTGTTGGATCATTATATAAACAGTAATATTTTTATGGGCCACTTACAAAAAAGTATATGAATGGCTCAGAGGGAGCCCACTCAGAAAGCCTGCAGATTTTCATCACTTTGGACGAACTGGGCCCATTTTTCAACCCATTACACTGCTTCCTTTCATGGGCCACTTGCAAAATTTTACACCTCACAATTTTTATTTTATTTTTTGGTGTGTAAAAATCTCCCTAGCCGACAACAGAAAGAAGCAAAATTAACAACTCTAAATAACTTCTCCAATCTATCTAATATTGATTTAGAAATCAGATTGGTTTTCAAATAATTCCCTTGCACCCGAGCTTTTAGTTTCGATTCCCTTCTCCTCCAATATCCCTTCATTTATCTAACCTGATCGGCGTCAGCGTTCAAATAAACATTTCGCGCGTCTAGTCTCCTTATAACACGTGTCTGAGTCAAAGGGGCATCAAACGGCCCGGGAAACATTAATAACGAGGCGCCACATGTGCTTACATAACACGGTTGCATATAATGGCCGTGTTACCGTGAGTGACCTAAACTCGAGGGGAAAATTAGGGTTTTAAGAGCCGAAGCGAGAACCCTTGCCCAGGGTTTTAGACAAAGTTCCGAACATCGCTGTGCTGTGTGAGCCAACCATACAGTAACAATGGGATTTTGGGGTCAGTCTTCTTTCATTTTGTTTCATTATTGAATTTTCATCTTGTCTTTAATGTTAGCACGTTAATGTTCTATGAATTTCATAATATTTCTTGAAATCGTAAGAAAATAAAATGGAAATTCTTCGATTTCTCAGAAACTGAAATTTTTGATAATATGGGTAACTCTAGTCCCTGTTTGGCTTGTGAGAAATCGTAGGCGAAAAATTGAAAGCTAGAGTTTGGGGTTGGGATAGAATGGGGGATGCGTGATACTAAGTTCTTCTTGCATAAACTCAGTTCCTTTAGCTATCGAATGCAGCATCACATGTATATAATTTTTGGGTTGAATTTGAACTATAGGAATTGAAGTAAAACCGGGCGAACCATATGGTTATCAATCCGATGAATTTAAAGGAAGGCTTCACATTACTCAGGTACTTTGTTTTTTTATTTATTTTTAAATTGTAAATTTTCAAAACTTTTGGTTGTTGCCAGCACTCTAATAATTTTTGGAAATCATCGTGAATTGGGTGTGGTATAATGGTCAATTTGCTTGTTAACTCTCTGTTGATATATCAGGCGACTTTAGGCCTTGGTGAATCGAAGGAGAGGAGCATAGTTCAGTGCTCCATGGGATATAAGAGTCCAATCTTTTTGTGTTCCTTGTTACCAAATAAGAATGAATCATGTCCGTTGGATCTTGAATTCGAGGGTGTTGATGGTTTGATAGACTTCTCGGTGATTGGCAAGCGGAGTGTCCATCTCTCTGGTTACTTTGTGGATGATGACAGAGATGCCAGAGATGACTATGAATCGTATGTACTTACTTTACTACTGATAATTTTTTCTATGTAGGGTTTTCCTCATTTTTAACGGTTATTTTTATCTCTCTTACAACATTTTCAGGGATTCTTTTGGGGAGGATATTGCCGAAACTGAGTCGGAGTCATCAGAATACGACAGTGACGATGCTTATGATGATGGCTTTATTGACGATGAAGATCTGGACATTTACCCGCCTTCACCTGTTCCCAATAGCGGAGGTACATTGGCCTATTGGATTTTATTTTCTATTTCACTATCATAGGATTCTAAGGTTCATTTTTTCTTTTTGTTTTCGTCTTTCGTCACAGCCACATCTGTCTGTTGGAAGTGTATGCTCTATTAAATATGTTTTGAATGACTTGGCATAGCTTCTTTTATGACTTTCACCACTGGTTTGCATATTGGATCTGATATGAGAGGAAGCATAACATAATAAAAATTTATTTGTCAAAAGTTTGATTATTCTCAATATGTTAAACTTAAGCTAGATATTTCACTACCATTTTTGTGTACGCTAAACCATTGATTTGATATTATTACCACACTATGTTATCCTTCAAAATCTGGTCTTTTTGTTTGAAAAGTAGTATTGCGCTGCTGGGATAGTGTGTATCTGTGCTTTATTCATGGTTGTCGCTTATTCAATGCACCAGACTGTTGGATCTGATGTCAGGTCAGTATGATGATGTAAGATAGTGCTTGACTCGGGGTTTTATTTGGCTTAAATTTTAGTTGTAATTGAGGAGATAGAGGATGATGAGAAACCTACGAATGGAAACATCCAGTCCAAACGACTACTAAAAAAGAATAAATCAAGTTGCTTGGAGGACAAAAACCCTCAACATCAAATTGTTTCCAAGAGAAATGCCGGCGTCCCTGTTCTGGAGAGTGAAGATGAAGATGGCTTTCCAATATCCACCAATCAGAAAACCAACTCCAATATTGAGAAGCCTGAAGCAGCAACAGAACAGGAAGATAACAAAATAACTGAGAAAAGCAAGAAAAAGAATGTGAAAGATGGTGATGATACTGCTGGGTTAAAAAGGAAAGTTGAAGATGTTGACCAAGATGGTCAGCCAGAAAGGTGGGTAATTCAATTTATCCATTTCACGTGTTAGTTGTTTGTTAGTGGTAAGCATGGAAGTCGACAATTAACAATGATTCAAGAACTTTGTTTTTGTTGTCTTTTTCCTGAGGTGCTCACCAAATTCTCAGTTTTTTAAAAGTTTTTCCTTAAATGATGTCAGGCAAAAGAAAAATAAGAAGAAGAAGAAGCTGAGACAGCAAGCTAAAGAGGGAAATGCAGATGAAGTCAATGCTTGCACCGACAATGAAAAGCAACCTGAGATCTGCAAGAGCCAAGACATTAACCAGGCTTTGCCGGTTAAGAAGTGAGTTTTGCTACATCATATTTTTCGGTTTCAAAGTTGCATTTATATTTTAATTTCATTGAGCCAGGAATTGAAATTACCCATCCCCTCTAATATTTTGATTCTTTAGATTTGAGTGTCAACTTGTTTAAGGAATGAGGCTTAGAACAATCAGACATTGGCTTTATGCTTTTTTTTCTATCCATAACTTGGGCTTTAATTTATTTTTATTTTTTCTTCTTTTTAATCATATCTTGCATGTCCAACTCACTATATTCTTTACTAAGAAGTCCAGTCAATTTCTACCAGAGAGATTGAATGCTTGGATAATACCCTTACTAATGGCTTAGACTTGCTATCCACTATTATTTCTCTTGTGCATGCGCACATTTGCTTTCTCGTTCCTACATTGATCAATAAGTAAATTGCCTGTTTGCATGGACAGGAGCTCTGACATCAACACGGATTCTATTCCTGGTGAAAATCACACAGAGGAGAAAAAGAAGAAGAAAAAGAAGAAGAAAGCCCAGGAGAGTGAAACAAAAGTGGATCAAACTGTTGCTAACACGGAAGATCCAAATGAACCGACTTGGGAGAAAACCAATGGCAAGCCATCTAAAGTGAGAACCTTTGGAAATGGACTGGTTATCGAGGACCTATCTATGGGCCAACCAGATGGAAAAAGAGCTTCTCCAGGACAAAAGGTAAGTTTTAGCCCTTAGGCATGTTTACTTGTACCTTTTAATGGATTTATGACACAAATATTTATTGGTTTACAGGTCAGTGTTCGCTACATTGGCAAGCTAAAGAACGGAAAAGTATTTGACTCAAACGTGGGAGGACCACCCTTTAAATTCCGCTTAGGTACCATTAATTCCATTTGATAGATATTAAGAAAGAACTCGACTTCAGTATGTGTGTTACCTTAATGTCTTATGGTTGTGCAGGTATAGGTCAAGTTATATCGGGCTGGGATGTTGGGGTTAATGGTAATTCTCTAAGATATCAAAATCTTTACTTAAATCTGATTTTCGGTTTTAACTAAGCAGTTAATTGTTGCATCTTTTAATGCATATCTACCTCCCTCCAGGTATGCGTGTTGGGGACAAAAGAAGACTCACGATTCCACCAGAAATGGGGTATGTCAATATCATAATTTTTTCTGTTGAGCTTGTTGTCCGCTTTTCCATTTCTGCCAAACTTATTTACATGTTTCTTTTTTATGCAGTTATGGACATAAACGTGCTGGAAAAATACCACCAAACTCATGGCTTGTGTTTGATGTTGAGTTGGTTGCTGTTAATTGATTCAGCTGTGGAGATGTTCGTTCCCCTTCCAATTTTGAATATCTTTTTGTCCTGCTGGGAAAACCAGTCTTGAAAACTACAATATACTCTGTCTCTTCTGTCTTAGAGAGTTGCATCTCTCTAAGCCTCGGTTTCCAACTTAGCCGTTATAGCATATTCAAGTATATGTCGATTTTGGAATTGTTTATAAGAGCAGTTGATGCGGCTAAGAACATTTCATGATTTCCATGTTTGTACTTTGCCCTTCTAGTTTTCTTCCATGGTTTTAATAAAAAAATATTATTATTGAAAATGCTTTAAAAATATTTCTAAGGATGCCCAATTCAGCATTTTGACTTAAGCGGGCAAGGAAAGCTTTCCAAATCAGAAGTATTTCCTGGCAAGTTTTTATTTTTATTTTTCTCCATTCATAATTTGACAAGAATAAAATTAATACATCTTTGGTAACTAATCCTATTTTTATTTAAACGAAGGGGAGTCAATTCAATTGATACTGGCAAACTTCACTAGAATATGTTAGAAATATATATTTTTTTTTTTGTCAATATAAATATTTACAATTGGACTTACAAAAATATTTATGGTAACAAAATTCCCTTTTTAACTTAAAACGAAAATTAAAAAGAAACTATATGAAGGAATCACAAGAAATAAATTATCCAATTGTCTTTTTGTTGGCCCAATAAAAATTAAAAACAATGCTCTGCTTCAGTGCTGTTAGAGATGCGCGAAAACGAGCGGGTTTCTTTTGTATGGTCTTTTGGGATGAACGCGAGAGAGAGAGAGTTAAGAAAGAGGATTGGATTGGATTGTATTGATGCTTCGGAAGAAAATAATCAAAGTGTATTCTTTAACAACATTTCAAGATTTTGTCTTAACCCATAAAGACTCGAGCTACATAGAGAAGACTCAACATTGCATTGCATCACCAAGGAACAAACCTAGACAACACACTCATTAATAGTTGCTGATTTCCTCACCAAGATCCTATAGTAACTAGCAGTAAGGACGTTTGGCTATGCAAAATTACATGCTTGGTTGGTAACACCAAAAACCAGAAAGGCTTATTTAACAACTAGGGTTTTAAGATTCCAGCACTCCTATCAGTATGGTTCCACTGGTACTCTGAATTTCGATCCGGCATAGACTGCTGCAGATCCAAGCTCCTCTTCTATCCTAAGAAGCTGCAAAACACCCAACAAGAAAAGCAGAAAATAGTTAGAGAGAACTTAGAAGCAAGTTAACAAGAAGATGGGCGCACCTGGTTGTATTTAGCAAGCCGCTCTGATCTGCAAGGAGCTCCAGTCTTAATTTGGCCCTGTTTGATCAAACAAGGATGCATAGGCCAAATCAGTTTAAGTAACAGCATAGTCCAAAGCTTGGACGACATCCCAATACATTTCTAACACTAAATTATAAAATACAAGGTAGACTTATATAGCATCCAGGTAAGACCCTAGCACTTACCGTCGACAGCCCAACAGAAAGGTCAGCAATGAAAGTATCCTCAGTTTCACCACTGTAAAAGTAAAAAGATAAACCAAATTGGCAAAGGAGTATGTGTATCAAGAGACAGATGAAAATAACGAAAAATGGGATACCTTCGGTGACTTGCCATGACACCCCAGCCAGCACGTTTTGACATTTTCACGGCTTCAATGCTTTCAGTTACTGAACCAATTTGATTCACCTAAACAAACAAAAAATAAAGAGATGAGTGTCATCACTGGTCACTAGTCATCCACAGAAATCCATAAACTATTAACAACTTGGACGAAAGATGAAAGTAGCAGCATTAGCCACCTATAAATCATGAAAGATTGGATCCAAAATCAAGGAAAGAAAGGGGCCGAAATTACTACCTTCAAAAGAAGAGCATTGCAGGTCTTCTCCTTGATTGCTTTCTCCACTCGCTGCAGCAGGCACAATGAACAAAGAAATGTCAAGACCACCTTTTCTATCATTCATCACACATAATGTGATACATGTAGCAGTATAATAATAAAATCTACTTGCCTTTGGATTTGTGACAAGGAGATCATCGCCAACAATTTGCACTTGCTCACCAAGTTCAGCAGTCATCTTTGCGTAGTGTTCCCAATCATCCTGATCAAAGGGATCTTCAATCGACACAATTGGATATTCAGTAACAAATGACTTGTAAACATTCTTCAGACTGTCTCCTGATATTTTTTGTGATCCATCATTTTTCTGCAGCATAAAACTAAGTAGTTCAGCCAGCTAACCCAACATAAGAGATAATAAATCCATATAATTAGTATATAGAAAAGATAATTATCCATGTGTAGCCAAATATGTTGTAATTTAGTTACCTCTTCCTTGAAATTCAAGTCATAAGTCTTATCCTTGCTATCATAGAATTCTGAAGCAGCAACATCCATCCCAATGACAACCTTTCCAGTATATCCAGCTTTAGCTATGGCTGTCTTCAGCAGTTCAAGACCCTCTTTGTTTTCCTATAAAGGGAAACATCAAAAGAATGAATTATTCCACTGCCTGGCCAAAATTCACTAAGGAAAAAAACAATTGTCATTTTCTACATAAGCAGAAGTTAATCTGTTATACGAAGACATGTACTCTGGAAACTTAGTAAATTAAATTACCACCATTCAAATAATTAAGCCAGTAAAGAACACAAGAAAGCTCTGCTTCCAGACCAACGATAACAAAAAGCCACTCTAAGTTGTCTTGTTTTGTTAATATTTTTACATACCTGAATATTAGGTGCAAACCCGCCTTCATCCCCAACATTCGTGGCATCTTGTCCATACTTCTTCTTAATTACAGCCTGGAAGAGAAACCAAGTGGAAACTTCATGAGGCCTGCAAAGGAGGTCATTCTATTATGCAAAAGCTGCAAAAGAAAATAGTAATACCTTCAGGTGATGATATACTTCTACTCCCATCTTCATGGCTTCCTTGAAAGAAGATGCTCCAACAGGGAGAATCATGAATTCCTGTCACAGAAAAAATAATAAGAATAAAAATTGCAAGGGGCACTAATTTCTCATAACATTAGAGAAAATACTAACAGATTATTCAAGAACAAAAAGAGAAACACGAAATCAACATTAACCTGCATTGCTAGTTTATTGCCAGCATGAGAACCTCCATTAATGACATTAAACGCAGGTACAGGTAGCACCAAGGTCTTGTTTCCAGCAAGATTGGCAATGTGCTGCAATGTAAAAAGAAAAAGCACTATTAAGAGTGAACCTGAGACATGCCTTTAACTAAATGAAATGGCAGGGTACTACTCTCCCTGGAAACAAACCTTGTAAAGAGGGATCTTGTTCACAATGGCACCTGCTTTGCAGACAGCAAGAGACACTGCCAGTATAGCATTTGCTCCAAGCTAAAATAATAAAAGTGAGAAGAAACCAGAATTAGCATGCAACAAATTAGACCGAAGTGCGGCAATAAGAGAGGGAGAAGAAGCAAGAAGAAAAAAACATTAATATACCTTCTGTTTGCACCAACCCCATTCGTTAACAGTTCCATCAAGCTGTTGTACCATATAATTGTCAATTTTGGTCTGCTCTGTTGGGTCCTGTGATGCACACAACAAGCAAGAAGAAAATTAATAACCATTTGCCTTTCATTGGAATAGGAATAGGAATATAATACAATCTAAAAATCTCTATGTTACCTTTCCAATCAAAGCAGGTCCAATGATCGAATTCACATTCTCCACAGCCTAAACACAAGATTAAATTGCAATGATCAACTTTGCTCCATTTAAACGAAAAACGAAATCAAAATGATATAGAGGAACATTATACAGACATCGCAGAGTCAAAATCTAATACTGAACAATAACCACATACTTTAAGGACACCTTTCCCAAGATAATCCGATCCACCATCTCTCAACTCCAGGGCTTCATAGATACCTTTTCAATCATATAATATAACAATAAAATATTAGCGAGAAAGAACTACAACTAGAACCATGATGATAGGCACTCAAATAAGTTCAAATTAAACCTACTTTAAATAGAAAAAATGTAAAGAAATGAAGTGCAAACACCTCACTAATGAAGTGCGAAAACATAGACATAAAGGAATATATAAAGATATATAGTTCCTAAAACCTAACTCTCCAACATAACCAGCAAACTCAGGAACAATCAGAACATAAGACTAAAACAAATGAAGAGGAAGGGGAACGCTCTATGGTTTTTACCTGTGGAAGCTCCACTTGGAACAGCTGCTCTTGCGTAGGTTCCATCGGAGAGTGTAACATCAACCTTAAATAGACACACATTCAGTCATCATCAGTCTTACATTTGAATCCAACGGAAAAAAAGAAAAAGAAAAAAAAAACTTGTTTGGTTGCTCAGAAATCTAGCATCTTACTAAAATTTAATTTTGTTTTCTCACATTTTCTCATAAACCAGACAGTGCTGACCAAAAAAAAAAATCAGACATTGAAGACTGAAGAGGGAAAAAATGAAAAAAGAAAACAGATAACTTAAAATGAGATCGAAAATAAGGAAATCGGATGGCGGAAAATGAGAGAAACTCACTTCGACGGTGGGATTGCCACGGCTGTCGAAGATTTGCCGGGCTTTAACAAGCTTGATCGTCGTGGCCATTGTAACTTCAACTTCAACTGCAACTGCAACTGCAACTGTCTCACTCTCTTTCACTCTTTGTATTTATCGAAGGCTTTGTCGAGAAAGTGATGAGATGTGGTAAATATAGAGGTGGGATCACGTGGGCGTGAAGCGCGGGCAAGGAAATCGCTGCCGTTGATCGTTCAAAAAGTGCAAGCGATGTGGACGGTCGGTGATTTCTTTCTTGCGAATCACGGACTGCCAACTTAGTCTCTGGCCCGGACTGGCATATGAAAAGGAATATGCGGTTGCCCACTGCCCCTTGCCCAAGAAATTACATTACTCCATGTCATGATGAGAAATGAAGGGTAAATTGGGAATTTGAGGGTGGCTTTTTGTCAAAAGGTGTGATTTGGGCGCACCCAGATTTGATAAACCGGGGTTCAAATTATAGTTTTGGTTCCTCAAAGTTCCACATTAATCATTCTAAAAAAAAATAATAATAATAAATAAATAAATTCCACATTAATCTCTTTAGTCTCAATTGTTACAAGTTAATCTTTAAAGTTTACTAATTGATACAATTTACGAATAATACTTCAATTAGTCAATTTTTTTGACATAATTAACACATGAGTAACATAGGTGACCGTAAATTAGACTGTTTGGAAGTGTAGAATCACTATATATATGGCTCTTATGCACCAATTTTTTGAGTTAGTGACGAAATTAAGTCATTATTCTTAAATTGCAATAGTTATTAAACTCCAACACTTCAATCGTGAGAATTAAAACTACATGGACTAAAGTCGAACTTTGATGGAATTATAGACCAAAATCTTAATTCAGTTTTAGTTTTTGGTAAAGTGGAAGACCTAGGCCCAAACACGTTAAGAAGAAGAGGGCAAGGTACTAGCCCAAATGCTCAGTGTGGGTCAAGATAGCCCCACTAAGCTCCGTGTGTCTTAATTTTTTAAATGGTTAAGCCCACCTAGATTTAGCCCAAAGCTAAGCCCCTATAAGCCGAGGTCCTGAAAACCCTTCTTTGTGTAGTTCACAGCTCGACCTAAACCCTAAAACCAAAGCAATTGGAAATAGGGTTTTATCAAGGGTTCAGAGGCCACAGCGGAAAGGTAAGCATTTTTCATAGCCAGTCTCCTAAGTTTCAATCTTGAAGCAAACTGGTTTAAGCTCTATACAACCGTAGTCTTTTAATTTAGGCGTAAGATGTAATTCTTCGTTCTTCCTTTTCCCTTTTCTGCTTGGCTGCCGAGAAAATTGATGTATAAGAGGATGGAAAGATATCGCATTTTCGTTTTTTTTTTTAAATTTCCTGAAATCCCAACTGTAGTTTTTTGTGTATGAATCTGTTCTTCATAGGCTGTGGTGTGTTAATCTGATATTTCAACTTTGATTGATTTGAGCTGGAAATAAAAGAAATATATTGGAATTTGTAATGATTCTGTGTTTATTAAGATTAAGATATGTGATATTGTTTGGTAGGTTATAAATTTTAGTCGTGCAGCATAGATTTATTTCTATTTTGTTTCCTGAATGCATTAATCTGTTTTTGGTACAAATCTTTTCAAATGTATGAACTGATATGAAGTGATTTATCCTGTTCATTAGTCTAAACAACTTGCATCTTTTCCTAATAGATTTACTAAATGGGTGTATCCAATAAAGAGTCCAGACGGTTTAATGAGGATTCCATGGAAGAGGATGATTTGGAAGACGTGTCTGAGCCAGAATCCGAACCAGAATCAGAACCAGAATCTGAAGATGATGAAGATGTGAAATTGACTGAACCATCAAAGAAAGCCATATTCAACAGAGATGGTCTACTTGATAAACTTGGAGATATTAGCTGGCCGGAGAATGCTGGATGGGTGCACAAACTTTCTGTTGATATTGATCAAGAGCAACAGGTGGACGTTAATGATGACCTAACTCGGGAGCTCGCGTTTTATACCCAGGCTTTAGAGGGAACGAGAAAGGCATTCGAGAAGCTTCAGTCAATGGGGCTTCCTTTTCTCAGGCCTGAGGACTACTATGCGGAAATGGTGAAGACAGATTCCCACATGGAGAGAGTGAAGAGCCGGCTTTTGGTAGAGAAGAAGAAAATTGAGGAAGCCGATGAGAGAAGGAAAGCTAGAGAGGCCAAGAAATTATCTAAAGAGATTCAGGCTCAGAAGTTGAAAGAGAGAGCTAAGCAGAAAAAGGAGGACATAGAGTCTGTGAAGAAGTGGAGGAAGCAGAGGCAGCAGAGTGGGTTTGCTGGGGGTGACAAAGGCAGTGAGTTGGATTTGGCATTCGAAGATGGGAAACCATTTGAGAAGTCAAGTAATAAGAGGCCAGGTGTAGCTCCAGGAGATCGGTCGGGAGGGAAGGCAAGACAAGGTGTGAAGGTGGGGAAGAAACCGAAGAAGAGGGATATCAAGGATTCCAAGTTTGGATATGGAGGGAGGAAAGGTTCCAAGAAGCAAAATATGGCTGAAACCACCAATGATTTGAGAGGCTTCAATAAAGATTCTCTCTCAGGAAATAAGAAAAGGAAGAGGTGATACCATCGTAGGGTTTTGTTTGTGCACTAGTCTTTCTTTCTGGTAAGGGCTTGCCTGTTTAGCCTATTAATTTTTGCTGGTGACTTTAATACATGTGAACTCTTAAGTGTGTTAAGCTTTGCTCCAACACTACTAACCTTGAAAGTGGTGGTTGTGCTTCTTGGTGGATGATCATAGTATGAAGTAATATTTTTTTTTATGCAAAGTTTTAGTTGGTCCTGATGAAGCCAAACACTACAACCAATTTGTAGCTTTCTTCATATGAAAAATTATGATTTACAAACAAATATCTTATATATGTCTTCATCCATTCTATTTCATGAACTGTAGCTTCCAACTACTAAGAATTTTGTAGTGGTCATATGCTTCTGGTTTCACCTTGCTTTTAATAACTAAATGTGCAATCAGATCCGTTCAAATGCATTTCAATATCCATCTGCTTCGCCTATAAAGTTTATAAACTGTCCTGGAAAGCCGATATCATTACGTTTTTAAAGCTGCACTTGTTCTTTATGAAATCAGTTCTGTGATCTGCCAATGCAAAGGCCCTTCAACATAGATGCCAGATTTATTTATTTATTTGATAAAAAAGCGACATAATTTTATTAGATCAATAGGAAAGAGTATAAAGGATATCATTAGCAGGTTTTTTTCCTGGTAACAAAGACATTGAAATTTTGATTGAAGACAGATTGGACTTTTCTTTGGTAAAAATAAAAAAGTCTGGGATTTGCTCAACGCATACTCAAAAATAAAATTTGTGGTTCTATGATGTCAACTTTTGATGCCAAGAAACGAAGAAAGTTCCATGTGAGGTTCTTGGGAGGTACGTTTGGACTTTTTTGATTAAACAAAAGAGAGAAGACCCACTAAACAGTGAGTGATTTGGGAAGTTTCATCTCAACTACAATGGATTTATATCTCAATCATTAAACAAAATCATATAACATATGTCATTTTCTATGTAGCTTTCACACCACCCCACCTCACCATCTAGTCGTTAACATGATCTCCTTCAAAAAGCTTCTCGCCTACACTTCTTTCAATCCTTTGTACCAGTAGTTATAAATAGCTTCTTTTCGTTCTTCTTCTAACACCCTACCCCTTCTCCTCCTTGCTTTTGTTCATCAAAATATATCCTATCCAGTCCAATCCAATCCAATCTGCTCAACCATGTTGGCTTCTACATTGGACTTGCTCACTCAGGCTGCTTCCAATTCTCTGCTTGTTTTCTGCTTCTGCAATTTGATTATAGTCATAATCTTCATGGGGTCGAAACCAGGCTCTTACTTTGAGCAAGAAAGTGAAATTCCAGTCTCGATGGTCACCAGCAGCTACAAGTACAACAGAAACAACACAAATTGTAAACAAGTTGATGATGCTAAATGTAAGCAGGAGGAGGGTACTTTGGTCAATCCATCAGATACTGTTTTCAGCCAAGTTTCATCAAATGCCAAGAAAGAACTTGCCACTGCCAGTGATGAAAAGGACAGCATCATCAGCCATCACAATGACAGCAAGAAGTGCGACAATGATGATGAGCTGAGAAGAAGAGCGGAAGAGTTCATTGAAAAAATGAACAAAGGATGGAAGGCAGAGTTGTCGAGAACTTCACATTTAATCTAAAGGGGCTTGCATAATAAATTTGTATTAGCTTGGTTTTTGGTCATCATCAAGCTTAAAATTTTGTACATTAATTGTAACTCCGATGTGGTTTACTGAGGAAAATTTAATTTTAATCATTAGAAATAGAAATGTTCTTAGAATTGTCGGCCCCGGAAATGAAGTCTGCAACTGCAAATCTTCTGTGAAATTCTCGATCCTGTCCTGTATGTTTCGGAGGGTAACTTTGTTCAAACTTATAGATTAACAAAACGTAAGCAAAAGCCTCATAACATATGCCTTGATTCTGTTCTCACATGGATAAAGAGGGAAAGTGTTTGAAAAGTTACAAAAGGGCATGTTCATTTGGTAATGTAAGCCGCATGAACTTTTCTCATCTTCTTTTGTTTTTTGGTCCATCGTTCAACTTTTTATCACTTCCCCTGAGAGAATAATATATATATATATAAGGGAGATTCACTATTATACCCAATATATAAGCCCAAATAAAAATAAAAATAAAAACCCTATATGAAATGGATTTTAGAAACACACCCAAAATCCATTTACAACATAACAAAAAGACTTTTAATTTCTTTTAAATTACAAAACTGCCATTGATTTCTTAAAACAAACTCAACCCTAAAATATCATTAAAAAAAAACCTAAAACACTCAATAAGGCATCAAAGTAATTTAATAATCAAGATTAAATTCAATAAGGCCATTTGTCATTTTTTGGGTTTGTTTATAGAAATTAAATGGTGTAGAGTTTATCTATATTATTAGTGCTAAGAATGGGTGAATGACTAAATATCTCTATAAAAATGGCTTTAATAATAAAGAATCTCATATCAGTTGCAGGAGGTGATTGGTTTTCAATTATAAGCTATGCCACCAATTTTAGGAAAGCCAATTATGAATTTGGAGGGCCAGGTCGACGTTTTGCCTAACTTATACGTGTTGGTCTGATGTCAACTTCGAAATAAGTTGGTAAGTCAAGATCTTTTAATATAAATACACCCAATTTCAAATAATTTTCTTTAATTTAAGCCATACTTAGTCTCCTTCACATAATTACCTGACTAATAGTTTTCTAATATCTTGCAAGCAAACAAGTTTTAGTCAAATTTAATGAGATGATCAGGTACATGTTCTGTTCTGTTTTGCAAAGGAAAAAGAGAGACAACAAAGAAAGTACCATGAAAACGGGCTTGGTTAGTGGGTGATGTTTTTGTGATGACGCAGACGGAAGGAGAGGCTGAGAAGGATCCATGTGACATTCTTGTTTGGTAGAATGGACTTTTAATTTAAAAAAAGTGAAAAAGAGGCCCCATCATCCCCATAATTTTAGTTGGGAATGAGCTTTCCATTCCAATGCATGATAAATAAAAACATTTTTTTTTATGCCATTGCCATTTATCATTAGCTTTCACAATACAGAACATCTTCTTCTCCTTAACTTCTGTTACATAAAGCTTCCCATCCACTCTTTCCTTCATCCATACAAGCTTTCAAGTGGGCTAACCTCTCTCTCTCTCACATACACATTTTGTTAACAAAGTTTGCCCTTCCAATGTCCACAACTATGCTTGATTCTACACTAGACTTAATCACTCCGGCTGCTTCCAACTCTCTATTCATCTTCTGTTTCTGCAACTTGATCATAGTCATTATCCTCGTGGGCTCGAAACCCATCTCCAACAACAATGAAGAAAGCGCAATTCACCTCACAATGCCCACCAGCAAGCATGTGGATGATGAACAAGGCACAAGGGATAAACAAGTGTGCAAGAAGAACAATGCCTTGATGGAAGTCCGTCAAGTGTCAAATGCCCAGACTGCAATATCTGATAACAGTAAAGTCAGCAGTGCCAATAGTGACAATGGTGAAACTGAGGGTGATGATGAGCTGAGGACAAGAGCAGAAGAATTTATAGAAAAGGTTAATCAAGCATGGAAAGCAGAATTACTAAGAAATTCACGTTTATTCTAGGCAGGCATGGTCTGAAGCCAGCAATTTTTTGTTGCAGTGATGAGGCTTTGCTGTAGCTATGTTGACAACATCTTTAAAAGGAATGTGCTTAAATTGCCTACTATTATTCCTTTTAACTTTGACTTTTTTTCTCTCTGTTTTTTGGAGTTGTGGACTTAAATGTTCTGTCATATGGATATGGATATGGATATGGATAAAGATAACCGATTTCGGCGAATGAAAGATAGATCTGCAATTTTGTGAACTTTTTAAACACTCATAAGTTCATAACCAAGAGAGCATTCACTCAAATTCCAACTTTCAGATACTAAGAAGTTTATGGGACAAATCACTAATCATGTTTCATACATCTAAAAATGCTACACCATAGAACACTAGAAATACATGAATACAACAGCCACACGATAAGCTTCGTGCTCGAGAGACCGACCTAAAACCTAATAAGAACGACTACAATCCTGGGTTATAACCAACATGAGGTACGTTAAGCCTAGTTTGTCCTTCACAAAAGAGCCAATGAGTCTGCATATTGGTGTCAGACAAGGTTGAGTGAGCCTAGATGTCACTGATTCTGGAGAAAATAATTAAGATACAACCATCACACAGGGAGCAAACATGATCAATAAGAAACTTCACAGTTTGGTTGACCAGGGCCTTTAGATTCCTCTTCCGACAACGATTTACTCTCAGGAGCTGAGTTCTTAAAGCTGTGCATGGGGTTTACAGAAGTTGAATTGTTTCCATGGAAGGAAGGAGAAGTCAGAATGGGCTTTACTCCACCACAGACCTTCATTTCTTCACCAGACACGGCATTGACAACAATAGGGACAATCGACGATGATACAGGCTCGAGTCTCTGTTTCTTGGGCTTCTGTTCCTGCTGGTGACCTGGTAGAAAACTCCCCACCACAACCTGATGTAGTTAAAACAGTTCAAAGGAAAACATCAACTGCACAACTCTTGATATATACAGGTGGAACATGCAAAAAAGAAGAATTCACTGTTATAAAGTAAGCTACAATACATTACAACAATTAATTTCTAATATAATAACAAAATATTGGAATATTTGATAAAGAAATAGTAAAATTAACATTTTAAATGTGTCAGAAATTAATCAATTATATAATGACTGACTATTAATCTTCTTTTACTTCATCTTTTGTTCTCTCTTCCTAGGAAATGATGTTACCTGCACAGGGCCAGCAGCTATCAACATACCAGCAAGCCCTCCCCCAACCACTCTACCGTCTGGACCTGCCAAAGCGACACTCATGCCACCAGATCTGCTCTTTGTTCCTGCGTTCTCAATTGCAATATATGATCCAGACAAGGAAAGTATCTCAAAACGGCCCTGTAAAATTCAAAAGAAAAAACCACCGTCATATTTTCTACCGATCAACAATGTCAGGAAACTGAGTATGATAACAGTTTAACTACATCATGTCGGCCAAGTTACAAACTTGAAACTTTTTGGGTCAGCATAAAGATAAGAACTTATGCAAGTCATTTACTAAAACAGTTATAGAGTTGATCAATCTTCCGCATTAATGTTGTCTTCTGCAGGAACATATGGAGTCAATAATTGCTGTATTTTCTTTTGATTTAATGTGTTGTTCACTAGCTATAGTAGCAGAATAAATAACAAAAAAAACTGAAAGGTTATACTCTTAAATATAGAGCATTTAAAAATAAATAACATATGATATACACAACACCAAGTATGTAAATAGCTTGCAACTAAGAAGTTACATTGTATAGTAATAACACACAATTTGAAAGGAGGACGAAAGGCCATACCTCATATGTTAAAGTACCCCCAGAAGAACTGGGCTGCCGAAGTGTAACATTTGAAATGGTACCATTTGCAGAAAGTATGCAAATAGCTCGAGACCCTTGTTGAGAGAATGACATGATCTTCATCGTAACATCCTACGACAACCAGAAGAAATATCAGAAATCAGGTCAAGAACAACATAGATCAAAGCGCTAAGTCTTGGACAAGCAAACTCATCCTTAACAAATCTTGAGATGAAAACTTCCATTATCGATTAGGAATAGTTGGCATGAGATTGCTGTAGTAACGTGAAAATTTGTTTCACATATAATTTTTCAATGCATACCTCGCCAGCATGGACAGTGAGGACATGAGGTGTAAAGTTTGCACCAACAGAGTATGCAATCTTCTCACCTACAAAAGAATTAAAAACCCTCAGCGAATCGAAAATAAAACAAACAAATAAATTCTCATCTACTGTATATAATACCCATAACCCTGAAAATGACAATGCATGGGGATATTAGATGATCATTGATTAGAATAGATGGAAAAATGAACAAAGCCTGGAAATTGTTGCCAAGTTCACCACCAGAAAGAGGCAACCCTAGCTAATTTGATGAACTTGAGAAGGAAATAAATAAAAAGCGAATGAATAACTACTAACGATTTAAAATTTGTAGAAACGAACCCCATTAATTTTATAATAAAGGTCATAGTTTATGCCTTAGGGCCACTCAAAAACCATTCCGTGACTAGACTACTGGCCATAATCCTCAGGAGACAGTAGCTCTTGAACCAAATATGAGGTTTCTTTCTACAGTGGTTAAGGTCAAAACTTGCCCAGAAAATATTAAATTTATAACCCGAACCGTATAAACCCGGTGTTTGTGTGCATAATTCTCATGCCCAGATGGAGTTTTAACTCTTGCAAGCCAACCCATATCATTTTCTTCCACCACATTTTCTGCTTGTGCTGCCTTTATTTTTCTCTTTCTTCCTTATCTTGTGCAGCTTAGCCAGGTCTTTCCACAGAACCCCACCAGAGCCAGCAGGTTTTTAAGAGATAATCGCGTAATTAGACAAAGTCCAATCCAGGCACGTCACCCCATTAGTGGACTCTACCTATTGAACAAGCTGGCACCTTCAATCATTCTCATCCTGTTTCCTCGTAAGCTTTAGCTATCTTCCCTCACAAAAAGGCAAAGGACTAGTATAATATAATTGTAGGCAGCCAGCAGAAAAACTCCACATCTTCACCACATATACCATTTGCTTCCAGATCTGACAGGGAATCTGATACAAAAAGGGTCCACTCCCACACCAAATCCAACAAACATTCCCTCAAAATCGTACTCTAAAAACGCAAATCCAATTCCAAAATTCAATCTTTTCACCGCCGGCACAAGCCGTCAACGATTTTGTACCAAAATTTACTCACAGCAATAAACACAAGCCCTTCAAAGCTACCATAACAGATCATGATCATCCCAAATGTAACAGTAAAAACGGTAACCAACAATAACTGAAAGTCAAAATTTTCAAAGCTTATAAATTTTAAAAGGGTCTTAGATCCTAGAACACTACATATGAGAGTCGTTTTATTACCTGAGCTCTCAAAAACGTCATACTTGTGAGACTTCTTGACTGAGTCAACGGGCCGCCCTCTGCCCCTTTTCCAGGCCGAGAACTCTCCGGTGAGCGGAATCGAAGACGAAATCGGCATCGGCGACAATGCCGACGAGACGGTCTTGTCAGGTCCGTACTTCCTAGGCCTGCCCCTCTTCTTCTTCACTTCCGTACCGGTCACGGCCAAGCTCATCGGCGAGGCCGTTGCAGCTGCTGCCATTGTGGGACCCTCAGATGGGCTGGGGTTTTCATTTCTCGGGGCAATTCTGTAGGTATCTGGAGCTTCTTCACCGCTCACTGCTACCCCAGAAACCAAGTTGTCTTTCTCCTCCATATTTGTATGTAACTTTCAGACAACAATACCCTAGTAAGCTTAAACCCTACAAACTCTTACAAATTTAGAACCTACACATTAAAGCCATCAGCTTTAGGAAGCAAGAATACCTAGAAAATGTGATCTCTAAGGACAAAAAAAGCTGATTGAAATACAACACAAGAATCCAGAAGATTTTCTGTGAAACTGAGCTAGAAAATTCCAACTTTTCAAGGAAAATTTGGAACTCTAGAAACCAAAACTCGTCTTTAAATGCTGAAAGCTAGAGAACCCAGCGCTGCAACTCCTCCAGCTCTGAGGTTTGTCTCCACCATTGTAGAGAAAGCACAGAGCTTCAATGGCAAGAAACTGAATTTCAGTAAAAAAAATTGTAAACAACTTCCCAGAATTACAAGGAATTAGAAGCACAAATTCTTGTTGTGATTTCAGAAATACTTCGAAGAAATGTAAATTTAGGGTTTTGCAGGAAAAGGAGGAGAAATAAATAAACTATTAAAAATGGAAAATTATAATTAAAAAATAAATTGTATATTTAAATATTAATGAATTTGATTAAAATTTAATATTCTAATTGCAAATTCAAAGTATAAATTTTAGTTAAGAAATTGGTTCGCGTCCGTCTCGGAAATTTAATAAAGGTGATTTAATAAATGGACAATGATACTGAATTTGAATATTTAAAAAAAACAATCAAGTTTAGTTTGAGAAAAGAAAAGGGCTTTTCTATTTTATATTACCTTTTATTTATTTAAAGTTGTATAAAGAAATATATATCAAAGCTGTAAAGCTAACGTTAGAGCTATGCCAATTTTCCAACTACTGACAACTCCTTTGTCTTTTCAGAAAATTAAAGTTGACTAGAACATTTTAATTTGAACTAAACGCCCTTTTAGTTTGAGGTATCTACTGTTAATGCCACTGTAAAATAACATGCCCTTCAAAAAAATGAAGGAAGGCTTATGAATTTGCTAGTGATAGATTACCAGAAAAAGAATCGACCACTAGAAGAAAGGAGATTGGTTTACCCAGAAAAGGAAAAAACAAAACAAACACAAAACTTGTGCTTGCTGCTTGTATTGTTTATCATTTTATGATTGGAAAGAGATCACGCTTCTAGCCAGAGAAGATCTGTCTGAAGAAAGCTAACAGATCCAATGTTTGGTTGATATATAAATAATGCAGATGATCTCAGAGAAAGCTCATGAAATCTAAAGAGCATAGGCAAAGCAACAAGTAAACCTTGTTCACAGCAAACCACACCATGCAGACAGTCTTCTTAAACCAATCAATCAATTTCCATATATAAATTGGAACAAAGGAGCACAGAAAACTTAATGATGATCACATTGATTAATCAAGAGGGAACAGGTTCAAACACCTTAGTCCACGTTCACTGGTCGTAGACTATGTACACCAGATCAGGGAAGCCAATTACAATTGACTTAAAAATCAGAAAACCAAAACACAAAAGGTAAAAAGAAATGCTAAAACAACACTTAATTCAAGTTCACCAGAAATTAACTAATCTATCAAACTTGTATCATGGACTTGATATGTGCTTTTGGGAGCACAAAACCAGCTCTTCTTTCCTCAAAAGAGTATTCAATCTCTTCAGGGATTTCTTCAACTACATTGGCAGCAAAAGGAATTGGAGGATTAGCCGGGGTCATAGCTGTCTGCATGGGTACTGACACCGTTGATGGCGTCGTTGGCACAAAAATTGGCATCACCTTGGGAGTCTTATTCTCTTCATCTGCAAGATTGGTTGACTTCAAAGGAGTAGTCATTGCGCCATTTTCAGTTGGAATAGAAATTGGTGAGAAGGGTTTCCGCATTGTGGGTGTCTCCACTTCAGAAACATTTCCGGCACCAAAAGAGTGCTTTTTAACAGGAAGACCAGCAACATCCAAGCCTCTCCTGCCTGCATAAACAGAGAAAAAGATAACGATATATAATTTTATTGTTTAAAAAAGTTTTGTATTGTGTCTGGATGGCAATGTAAGACACTAGACAGCAACAGAGATGGTGTTCCAGTGTCATGCCTCATTTTTTGTTTAAAATGAAATCACTGTGTTTAAGTTTTGTGTACTGCAACAGATGCTTCTGGAACACCGACCAACGAAGAATAAAACAAACATGTTTCTAGGTACTACTAGCAGAGTCCTCCCCTGCAAGGAAATAGAGGGTGAATAAACTTCGAAACTACTAGAATACTATGTTCAATCTTCTCATTTGTCAACCAAACACAAATGAGAACAATTGAAGAAGAGAGATTTACCTGAGGACAAAGCTGAAAAGCCATCATCCAGATGATTACTTAATTGCTCATTCTGGTGGATTCGGTCAGCCTTCCTTGGGGTTGGACGCAAATGAGGAGTAGCTTTGATCGAGTGAAGTGGATCAGGTTTAGGAGCTTGCATCGAAAGTCTTCTATTGCTTGCACCTCCAGTTGACATTCTGGGAGCTTTCTTTACACTCTGAGGTTTGGAAGGACTTGGTTTTGACCCATAAAGTGCCTCTTGTTCAGCTATGAGCTGACCCTGAATTTTTTTCTGGTCCTGAAATGGAGATTTAATTGTTAAAAAGATTATCTTACTTGATCTTATTCAATAAGAAAGAACCACGATATGGATGCATGGTCAAACAAAGTCCATCAATGAGTAAAATGAAGATGTTCAAGTGAAACTACAGAACCATACCCGCTGCCTTCGGCGTTCTTGCTCCTTCTCCTCCCGTAAAATAGTATACTCTTCAAGCATGGAAAGAAGACGGATCTGAACAGAAATAGATAACAAGAAAAATTGTGAATTTGCATTTATGAAAACAAACAAAATAAACTTAAGCTGGAATACCTCCTAGAGAATTCAGAAATACAAGGAAAGTAACTTACACCATCATATGTGAAATCAATGCCTCTCTCCTTCTCCCATGCTATGGTTTTTGAAGCCAATGCATCCACCATTGCTGTATAAACACATATGGGAAGCAAACCATAAGAAGGAGGGGGAGATGAAGAAGAACTTATGAACAAAAACAGCATAAAAAATAACTGAGGCCAGCAGACATAAAAAGAACTTCTACTACTGGAGAAACTCAAGCACTTAAAAAGGATCAGTTAAATTCCAACTAGCCAATGTAACTGAGACCAGCAAAAATATAAATCAAAATTATATTCTTAAATTTTAAGGGGTTCTGTAACAGTCAGCATTATTAACCAAGGGTGCCATTCTACAAAATGTGGTCTCTACCTGGAAGTTTATTAACCAGAGCACGTGCTTTCTCAGCACGTTTGAGAGTAAGATGAGCTCCTCTTCCAGCATTGTATCGGTTTTCATCCTAAACGACCACAGAATAGGACAAGTAAGCAAAGGGATATGAATGTGATGAAATAATCAACATGTAAAATTATGGAAACAACTAACCCTGTTATACTCCTCGAGCCAGCACTCCTCATCACACGCAAACAACCATTTGTCAACTTTTTCAAGTATTTCTTTCCTGCTAAAAGCTTCCTCTTTAACCTTTGCAACCTGAAGCTCAATTTGATCGAGGACACAAGCAGGGTCCACATCTCCTGCAATGTAAGAATGAGGCAGACATTCAAAGACAAATACGTAGGTATTTTCTGTTACACTGTGATATGCTATTAAGAAATTAAAATGTACCTGAATCTATAGCTTCAATGACGTAATCAATTGCACTATCTGCTTCTAGGACCATATGTGTCTTTCTACAGATTTCCTCTAGCTCAGACCTCTTCTTAAGAACAAGCTCTTTCATTTTACTTGATTTCAACTCTTCCAACCGAGACACTTCTGCCTCAACCTGCACAATACATTTAGTCTACGTGAGTCCTTGAGAAACATACTGATCCAAATTTTGAAAAATACAGAATTATTGCCAAAGACTCACGTAATTGATGAAGTCCACAGAGAGTGTATTCGGTTCAGTTATCTCATGTTCTGAAGCAGCAATATTACAGGTTATATTCTGAAACATCTGTTGCTCCTCAATTGGTGTATCCATCAAGTTCCATAGCTCTAACATGGTAGATGCAAGATCTTGAAGCTGTCAAAGATTAGAAGTTCACTAAGATCATTAAGTTAAATGCATAAAACTTTGACTAGAAACTAAAAATTGACTGACAACATTCTTTACCCTCTGCATTCTCTGTAGTTTAACCTCCCGTAATTTTTGTATTGCAGCAGCCAGCCGCTCAATTGTATCATTACTTATATTCTTGCATCCTTCTGAATCATCTAAACTGGGATGAACCTCACTACTTGTCTGCTTGAAATCCATACCCAGAACTAAGCAAAGTGAGTTCAATGTACACAGGTGGTCCTGTATCTGCTTCAGCCGATCACTCTGCAAAAGAAGAAAGAACAGATAAATGAGGAAGGGCATCTACGAATACAACATTAGATTATGATGACATGCAGACAGAGGAAAGAAAATAACACTCAACCTTCTCAGTTTGGAGTGCATGCAGCTGTCTGTGCAATTCTTCAAGCCTTCTTAATGACAAATCAGTTTCATCAACAACCGTCTTAGAAGAACTATACTCTGTGCTCCCATTAATCTCACGTGAAATAATTTGTATCTCCTCTAGAACTTCCAGAAAGTTATTTTTTCTGTCCAATTTTCTTTTCTTCATCTCCTCCAGCTGTGGAACTATTTTGCTGAGCTCTTCCTTCAAGCTTCCAGCATTTTGATCAGACTGGAATGACAAAGAAAATCGTAAATAATGCTGAGAATTGAATTACATGTCTACTAAACAATAGTCCTCTCAAGCTCAAGTGAAATAGGACATTTGAATTAGATGTCTACTTAACAATCACACTTTTTTTCTTTAAACATTGAAATTGTGCATATATCTCAGTTCAATTTAGGGTAGCAAATGCCGTTTAGTTATTCATCTTTTCAAAGATCACCATTCAGTTCAAAGTTTTAACATCAAATTATAATTCTATAGGTATAATTAAACCTTTGCACATTGTTTATTGCCATTTGGAAAGAAATCGATGCCACAGTGGCTCCTGACCTGTCTAATATGTACTGGTCGCTCCCCCATTGCAGAACAGATTGCTGCTAGTTCTGCTTCAGAATCAGCAATTGCTTGCCTTAGCTGTGCCCTACACCGATTTGCCTGATCTACCTTTCTTCTGTATACTTCTAGACACTCCTGCTCAAGCTCAAGCAACATCTTATCCCTGTCTTTGTCAGACTCCCCAACTTCGTTCCAAATTATCTACATTGTTAGAAACAAGAAAGAAAATGAGTTTAGTAACTTCGTGTACTTTAACTTATCATAAACAGGAAGCTAGACAAATTTCCTTTTATATTCACAGATTCGTGAGATACCTGAAGTTCATATAAAAGGGATCCACATGTCGTTTCCATTTGCAGAAGCTGCTCACTTTGGAGATTAGACATATTGAAGAAGTTATACCTGCCACAAACAATTTCCACATTTAAACCCTAACTATATGCATTGCGTAAATTGACCATCAAATACTAAAAGTTATCTTCCTGTTCTGTGATTTATCAAATAAAAATACAAAATTTTCTGTTCAAACATTGATACTCTCAGCTCTTTCTCATTCCCAATATGGTTTACCATCTAAGCCAATTAAATTCAACTCAAATACTCAGACATTTCAGGAAAATGAAAATATGGAAAGCCCTAAATGGCAACTAAACCCTAGATTCCTCAAAGCCCAACCACAAATTTTAGAATTTCAGTTTTCTCACCAAAACTTTAGAGAAATTCCCATATCCGGTCGGAATCACCCCAAATTCTGACTTCGAAAGGAAAATTATATTTTCAAAAAATATTTCCCATGCAATTTAGCTCAAAGAAATTGAATTGAAAACATCATTCAGATCACAAGCCGGAAATCAACTAGAAGCATTCCGTTAGGCAGTAAAGAAAGCTGAGGAATTTTTCAACAATAAAATATTTTATCATTCAGAATATCGATACCCTCCCCAAGGAAAATGTTTTTTTTGTTGGTCCAAAAAGGAAACAGAAAATTCAAAAACTATAAACTTGGATGTTTCTGTTACTTCCGTGCGTCTTTCTTGAGAACCAAACGGGGGAATTGGGAAAAAAATGGGAAGAAAATAATGAAAATGGGACGAAGAAGATCCAGAAGCAAACCTGAGAGAGCGAATTAACGAACGTTAATGATCTGCTGTACGGATTTTCTTGCTAAAGCAGACGCTGGTGATTTTGAGATTTTCCTGAGAAAGAGAAAACGTGGGCTTCGCTTTTCTTTTCTTGGAAAGCTTGGGAAAAAAGTAGGAATTGGGGTTTGAATTTTGATGGAGAAATATGGATGGAGCCTGGAGATGTATTGTGTAACTGAAATGTGAAATCTTTAGAGAGAGAGAGAGAGAGAGAAGCAGTAGCCGTTTGAAGGAAAAAAGAGGACCGTTGAAGAGGGAGAGCGCTTGTTAAGGATTTGTTTTTTAATGATCTCCAGGAAGCAGCAGGTACGCACCAACGGCATTTGAATTTCAAATCCTCACAAGATGAGTTGGATTTGCTGCAGTGGATTTATGGTTGGTCTCATGTATGCATCCAATAGTATTTCGCCATGTCAGCAGAAAAGTCAACTTCTGTGCCCCCTTGTTTTCTAATTTCCAACGGTTGCATGGAAATGGAATTTGATTTCTCACCCAAAAAGAAAAAGAAAAGTATTATTTGAGATCTATCAAGTTCTGAACTTCTGATATTTCCAAAATATTCTACTCTCCATCTTATTACAAATTTGGAATTCTTCTTAATTACGAAATTTTAATGTTTATTGAATCAATGGAGTTGATTAATATGCCAATAAATGTAGAATTAAATATTTGTATAACATTTTTTATTTTAATTCCTCCATGAAAAAAAAAAATTACAGCTACATAATTAGCGCACACAAATAAATTTTTTTTCCCATGATGAAAACCATATTTTGACAAATGTGAGTTAAACTAGTTGGCCGAGATGGTGACCACGAAATTGTTGGTGGAGAAAATAGAGCATAAATCTACATGATTCAAAGCTTAACCGCATATAGAAACACATACAGAGAGCTTATCAAACTCAGGTTGAGACTTAAAAAGTTGCCAAAACCATCTTATGTTTCACACAACAGTTGTATTTTACAACACAAATAAGGATTTTCTAGAGTACATAACCGTTTTGATAACTATACTAAAATTATCTTAAAGTACACACTTAGCCGCTAATCCTCCCATCTGTTACAATAGATAACATCTACAAGCTATTTAAAAGAATAAAAAAATGTTATTATGTAAGCTTGGCCCCAATCTGGACATAAGATAAATATCACAGACTAGTTACCTTTCCACTTTGAGAACACAAGGCACATTATATATCTCATGTGGAAGAGCTGTTGCTGCCCTCATACTCTCTCCTTATGATTTCAAGCACAAATTCGTTCCATGTATCAACCGGACCTGGCATGCACCAGTGTAAGCAATCCTGCGGTGGGGGCCTTCCATCAGGGCCACGTTGTGTTTTCTTATTCGGGTCAGGGCTTCTGTAAGGGCCTGGATGCCCGTCATGGCGGTACTCAAAAGGTTTAGTGATATCCATCAATTTCAACTTCGATTTGTTTGTCACTCCTTTCTCAATTGCGCGGTTAAAACCCATAATCTGTTTTTGGTGCATTATATTTGTGAAGCCATTTTCCACTACTTCACCAATTGCAAGAGGCCTTACCTTCCCAGTGCATGATCCGCCTGTATTCCAAGCCCCACCCTCATAATGGTCAGGTGAATAGGAACGAACAATGGCAATCCCTGTATAGTTTGGATGTGTTGCAACAGCCCTGAGAATTGTCTCAACGGATATTCCAAATGCATCAATATTGTTGATCTTCATAGGCCTGGATTTGTCTGGCCACCACAACTGCCCTCCCACAATCTCATTGTTTAAGATATAGACAGACTGCTTGGCAAACCAATGGCCAGAAGAGAAAATAATCACATCAAACTGTGGGATGAGATCCATGAAGCGTTCATCAGGGGCATCAAGGAGGAGCTTCGCCACACCCTCTGGAGCAAAATCAAATGGCTCAGATGTTTGCTTGACAAGCCATGAGGACCAAATCCGGACTACAAACGTAGATGTTGACTTGAAGAAAAATCGTTGCATTCTCTTGTTGCCCCTATTTTTTGGAACTTCTACCTGCAAGCACCACACCAAGATGTAAGAACCACCATTAAGTTACGTAGAGATATATAATACTAGCAGGGTTAGCAATCATGAGTTGTGAACAAGTCAGCCAAGTCAAGGTCAGGCATGGACTAAGCTACTAAATTAGGGACATCCAAATACAAACATGATAACAGTCTTACTATAAGAGAAGTCGAGCTGACAAGCCTGTGTTTCAAAGCGCAAAGAAGAAGGGAAAAAAATTGAAAATTCTGGAATGAGATTAAAACAAGAATAATGAGAATGGACTGAAATATTGGATCAAAAACGGAGAAGGACAAAATGATCAAGCCCACAAAATCTTGACCCTAAAAGGAAAGCAGCAAAAATTTCCAACAACCACTTGTTGGCAAAACCAAAGAAATACCTTGTCAATTATACTGACAAGTACAAGTGTTCTACAAGATGTTCAATCCCTAATCAGGACGTGATTGGCCATAACATTTAATTTGAGTTTGTAGTTTAATGAGAAAAAGGTGTAGATAATTGCCTGCCAGAGAATGCACAACAATGATTCCATATGGTTTCGAGCAACTGAATCACCAATGAAAGCTATTGTCTTCCCCCTCATCAACTGTAGAAATTTCCTGGCATCAAAACGTGGCAGGTCACACTGAAGGGGCTTCCATCGCCAATTCTCATACTCCTTGTCAGGTCTCCCATTTCCCTGGCAATTTTGCATCTGTGTCAGGACAGGGCATGTATTGTTCGTATACAATGGTCCTGATGAATCATAAATCCAACTTCCACTGTATAGATCACAGCCTACATAATACCAACAAAATGTAAGTCAAAATCCTAGAAAGAAGTACTGAGAACAAAAATTCCACTTGAAATGGAATATATTAACTCAAGCCATGGAATTTGGCATTCGTTTTATAAATACAGGATCTGGAACTAACCAGAGTACTGGGACTGAAAAAAAAAAATGTTCTTTGAGATTTCAAGCCAAAGTTTATAAAAAATATTCTGTCACAACTGCAAAAGGCTAAGGTTACAGGAACAAGTCAAACGTCAGCCAACATGAAAACATAATGAAAGAACACGAAAGCTACCTGAATCAACCGAACCACCAGTGCTTGCATTGCTGGGCAGAGAATAAGAAGCTGGCATGCTTCCAGATTTGGAATCAGAAGGATCTGAAACAGAATCATTTGGCTCGATCTGTAAGAAGTTTGAGTTGTTGAAAAGACCTACAGAAACAGGCTTTCCAGTTTCATCAATTTCTGTAACATTGGACGAACCAGAAACAACCTTAGCCCCATCTTCTTGCATTGAGCTATTAGACGGTCCAAGAGCAGGTTCTGCTATATCCGTTGTCTCCTTGGTTTCTGAAACTATTGATGGACCAACCGAACTCAAGGACAGCTGGGGATTGGACTCATATGACAAATTCTTAGCAGTTAGTTTCATATTGTCATCAATCGAAGAGCCGGTTGAACCAGCAGGCACTGATGGACCAGCTGATTCTACTGATGCAACATTTTCGATAACTGATGGACCAGGTAAATTTGCCTGCAGAGCTGCTAGATCTTTGATATCTTTAGTTTCTGAAACAACCACTGAACCATCGGAATTCATGGGAACTTGTGAATTGGAATCAGAGGGGAAATCCTTATCAACCACTTTTGTATGTGCCCCATCTGAACTCTCGGGAACTTCTATATTAGACTCAGATTTCACATTCTTATTGAAATTATCTACATTGTTAGGAAGGGGAGAATCGCGGGAAGTTTGACTGCCTACAGAGCTCAAATAATCCAATTTCTGCAAACTATCAACACCATAGAAATACCAGCTAACCGTGGAACCAATTGGGTAAGTCACTAAAACCCAGGAAGCAAAAAGTAGGAACAAAGCCAATCCCACCACCGAAACTACAATCCATGAAAGAGCTTTCGGATAGTGAGTCATTGAAATGGAAGCTTTGGGCGAAGCCCAAGTCATGGCTTTCCAAATCAAGTAAGTCGTGTGGAAAAAAACTACCTAAACTAGATTAGCTACCAAGGTAACCCAAAATCATGCGTAGAAATGGCTAAAGGAACTATCCAAGTTTGAATTTTCTTTCCAAATTAAGACAAAAGCCAATACCCGAAGCTGGTCATAGCGGTTATTGGTGATCGAGCTCAGCCTCCTCCAGCAACCCTGAAAAATATATAAAACAAGAACTCAAGATTTGACATGTAATTCAGGTACCATAATGGCAAAGATGGAACTTTATAATCTAAGTAATTTCCATTACTAAAAACGAACAAATAACAATGCAATTCTTGTTTCCAAAGGGGTTTGAAGATCAAAAGAATATACCTTGATCGACACTCGAGCAACCCAAGATCCAGGAGCACTGAAAAGCACCGAAACTGATTGATTTCCAAGAAGGAAACAACAAAATGAAACTTGAAGGATTTGTTTTTCAGGTGAAATGAGATTCTGAAAGACGAATGCTTTTATGTACGGAACGTGGAAATGAAAGCAGTGCGTGATTATCTGGGATCAGGGACTTGTAACTAAAGAATAATTACGAGAATATCAAAGAAAGAGGGATTGACATGGGAAATGTATCTTGTTTTATTTGAGTGATTTGCGGCAGATTAAGCGACTTTCCATTCTTCCTCTTTTTTTCTGGACTTGTTTATAGTTTGGAGAGAGAATCATTAATGGAAGTCAGTAGTTACCATAATGCCCCTGGTTCCGCCATGATGACTTGTGCCTTGAGGCCGACCTCATTGTTTTGGTGTGGCGTGGGTGGTTGAGGACGTGACAGCTTGACAGCGTTGGATGCATCAAGAAGCATGATCCTCAATTTTCTCATGGATTATGAAATGTTAAACAAAATGAGGAACGATGATACGTACTGGTTTCGAATAAACGCGATCAAATTCGACAATTAATTGGGAAATGTCAACTCATTTTCTTATTACAATTTGATGGAACGCCACATTGAATGAGATCGTTATGGCCAAACATAGAACTTGAAGGCTTGTTACTTTTTCTTTTTCTTTTTTTAATGAAAGGCTTTGGTAGTTTATATCACTGTAACTATAAAGTCCCAAGATGGCAAAGATTATGCCAAAATCAATGCTTTCCTTTTTCGCAAAATAAATAAATAAATAAATCTTTGGTTTTTGTTTTTGGGGCTCATTTGATGAAGGGAATTACCAAAAACTAGATACTTTAGGCTTTTTCTTAGGCTGCCGAATGCCAGCAAAACGACAACGGAACAACAACACTTGAAAACTTTGAATTTGGCCTACGCATATATGTACATACTCTAGTAGGTGGAAAATTCTCAATAAAGAGTTGGGGAAATGGAGAGATGTCTTGGCAAAAGTGATGAACAACCATAGAAGCGAAAAAACTTGCCTGCACCGGGGATAGGACAACAGTCCTATCCCCCTCCAATCGCAGCACACCACGTGTCCAACTTTGGCAGAAAATGGACACATGGCGGGTTGTGATTGGAGGGGATAGGACTGTTGTCCTATCCCCGGTGCAGGCAAGTTTTTTCGCTTCTATGGTTGTTCATCACTTTTGCCAAGACATCTCTCCATTTCCCCAACTCTTTATTGAGAATTTTCCACCTACAATGTCCTATTAATTTTTTTTAAAATGTTTCTTGTAATTTCTATATTTTGTTAATATTTCTTGTATTTCCAATAATTATTTAAATGTTTCTTGCAATTTCTATATTTTGTTAATATTTCTTGCATTTCCAATAATTTTGTTGGCGCTAAATCTGAACAGATAGAGATGAGTGCAACTTACAGGTGGGATGGACGATCGAGAGATCGATTGGATGCCGATTCTTCCTGTCCTTGGATGCCGATCCTGAATAGAAAGAAGTCGAGACTCGTAAGGTCTATGGAACCGGTGTGGAACCAGCCTAAGACCCTCCGATGCCTAAGTAAGATGGTTGTTTTAAGAGCTCTTGCTGTTGACCATATAGAAGTATAAAAGTCAAGCTGAAAAGTCCTACCCTTGTATTGTAGTGGAAGGGGCATATTTATAGAGGGCATTTAGTATGCTCTTAGTGCTCATTTTCGATGTGGGACTCGTGGGAGGGCCCTATGAGGTTGACACGAGTCCTTAGATATTTCAGGCGGGTGCTTCGAGGTTGATTCTGCAGAATCGGTAGGGGATACCGATTGTAGGCTGTGTTGGGCAGTAACATAATTTAGTAGCACTTGAAAGAACGATGTAGATCAAAAGCAAACATTCCCACACAAAAAAAATAAAAATAAAAATTGAACTCTCAAATTGATTTACTCAAAAATTTCTCTCTCTTAAATATTTTTGTTTCGGATATATTGAAACTTGCAAATTAATATCTATAAAGTATAAACTAATTCAAATAGGAGGGTTCTTTTTAAATTTGTTTTAAAAATAAATATTATAGTCGCGCAACTATACCATTTTTACACATGGACGCCAAAACGGTAGTGGGTTCTTTTTTTTCATAAAGAGTATAGCCGCGCGGCTGCACTCTATAAATAGAATATTTTAGCAGTATAGCCGCACGGATACACTCTATAAATAGAATATTTTAAACGTCTAGCCGGGCGGCTATACCCTTTAAGTAGTTATGTTTTAATTACTATTTACTGTAGTGCAATCACTATTCACATGAATAGTAGCTGCCCTAGCCCCCCCTTGCCATGGCAAAGGGCAAACGGGTGGAAGTGCTCTAAGTTAACATCAAATCCACGCCATTGACATGGGATGTATTGTAGCTACAAATATTTTTTGTACTTTATTGACTGTAGTTGTAATTATCTTTTTATATCCCAGTGCAATTTGTATTGGGTACTTGTTTGAGTATTAAAATTTAAAATAAACATTTATTGGACCTAAAGATAGTAAACTTATATTTATTTTATTAAAAATATGTCCCGATGAAATTTCACCGACACAGGTCTATCCCGTCAAAATTTGTCAGATTAGACCTCTCCCAACGAATATTCGTTGGCACAGCCGCATAGGTGAATTTCGTCGGGAGAGTGAGTATTAATTTAAGTGATTAGTTGCTTTTGTGGCTATTGTAATAGAGTCCTTTCGCTTTTATCAATGACACTCCAACTCAGTATGCAATTCTCTACCAAAAATAAGGTGTGAAGTAACATAATTTAGTAGCACTTGAAAGAACGATGTAGATCAAAAGCAAACATTCCCACACAAAAAAAATAAAAATAAAAATTGAACTCTCAAATTGATTTACTCAAAAATTTCTCTCTCTTAAATATTTTTGTTTCGGATATATTGAAACTTGCAAATTAATATCTATAAAGTATAAACTAATTCAAATAGGAGGGTTCTTTTTAAATTTGTTTTAAAAATAAATATTATAGTCGCGCAACTATACTATTTTTACACATGGACGCCAAAACGGTAGTGGGTTCTTTTTTTTCTTTCATAAAGCGTATAGCCGCGCGGCTGCACTCTATAAATAGAATATTTTAGCAGTATAGCTGGGCGGCTATACCCTTTAAGTAGTTATGTTTTAATTACTATTTACTTAGTGAATAATTAGTATTTAAATATTTGATTAAAAATAATTATTGCCATTTATTAAGTAATATAATAAAAATATTTAATTATTCACTACAAAAATAATAATTAAAATATAATTACAGATGAATAAATAAGGCTAGGATCTTATTTAATTACTAAAAAGAAAATTTAAAATAAAAATTTATTGGACCTAAAGATAGTAAACTTATATTTATTTTATTAAAAATCTGTCCCGATGAAATTTCATCGACACAAGTCTATCCCGTCAAAATTTGTTAGATTAGACCTCTCCCAACGAATATTCGTTGGCACAGCCGCATAGGTGAATTTCGTCGGGAGAGGTTTTCTTGCTTATTTTTTGGCAAACTTCTTTAGTTTAATATGTGTAATTAAGTAATATCTTAGTCGTTTAGATTACTTTAATCGGTAATTATGTTTAATTATTATTTCTTTAGTGAATATTTAAATATTTTACTCATTTCATAAATTATTTAAAATTATTGTGTGGACTTTGTTTTATTAAAATATTTAATACTAATTATTCACTAAAGAAATAATAATAAAAACATAATTACTAATGAAAGTATTTAAATAAGGATACGATATTATATAATTAATAAAAAATAAAATTTAAAAAAGGATATTTTAAGAGTATAGCCGGTCAGCTATACTTTTATGTTGAAAGCGTATGGCCGGGCGGCTGTACTCTATAAATAGAATATTTTAGCTGTAGCGCCGCGCGGCTATACTCTGTATATAGTATTTTAAATGTATAGCCGATCGGCTATACTATTCAAATAGAATATTTTAAATGTATAGCCGACCGGCTATACCTATTAAATAGAAAATTTAAAATAAAAATTTATTGGACCTAAAGATAGTAAACTTATATTTATTTTATTAAAAATCTGTCCCGATGAAATTTCATCGACACAAGTCTATCCCGTCAAAATTTGTTAGATTAGACCTCTCCCAACGAATATTCGTTGGCACAGCCGCATAGGTGAATTTCGTCGGGAGAGGTTTTCTTGCTTATTTTTTGGCAAACTTCTTTAGTTTAATATGTGTAATTAAGTAATATCTTAGTCGTTTAGATTACTTTAATCGGTAATTAAGTTTAATTATTATTTCTTTAGTGAATATTTAAATATTTTACTCATTTCATAAATTATTTAAAATTATTTTGTGGACTTTGTTTTATTAAAATATTTAATACTAATTATTCACTAAAGAAATAATAATTAAAACATAATTACTAATGAAAGTATTTAAATAAGGATAAGATATTATTTAATTAATAAAAAATAAAATTAAAAAAAGGATATTTTAAGAGTATAGCCGGTCAGCTATACTTTTATGTTGAAAGCGTATGGCCGGGCGGCTGTACTCTATAAATAGAATATTTTAGCTGTAGCGCCGCGCGGCTATACTCTGTATATAGTATTTTAAATGTATAGCCGATCGGCTATACTATTCAAATAGAATATTTTAAATGTATAGCCGACCGGCTATACCTATTAAATAGCATTATCTTAATTTCTCTTTTAAATTACTTTATTTAGTAGTTACAATTTACTTAGTGAATAATTAGTATTTAAATATTTGATTAAAAATAATTATTGCCATTTATTAAGTAATATAATAAAAATATTTAATTATTCACTACAAAAATAATAATTAAAATATAATTACAGATGAATAAATAAGGCTAGGATCTTATTTAATTACTAAAAAGAAAATTTAAAATAAAAATTTATTGGACCTAAAGATAATAAACTTATATTTATTTTATTGAAAATCTGTCCCGATGAAATTTCGTCGGCACATGTGAATTTCGTCAAGAGAGGTCTAATCCGGCAAATTTTGCCGAGATAGACCTGTGCCGACGAATTTTTGCCGGGATAGACTTGTGCCGACGAGATTTCGTCGGGAGAGGTTTTCTTGCTTTAAAACAATAAATAAATAAATAAATTTTAAACATGTCAAATTAGTTTCTTTACTTTTATTTTTGGGCCAACTTCTTTTGTTTAATATATGTAGTTAAGTAATATCTTAGTCTTTTTTTATTACTTTAATTGGTAATTATGTTTAGTTATTATTTCTTTAATGAATATTTAAATATTTT